CGAATAATTTCACATTACTCTCCGTAAAAGTCCCAGAAAAATCAAAGATGCTGAACAGGCCTTGCAACGTGAGTTCCATGGGTTCCAATGAAGTGAAATTCAGCGGCTACCCAGCTCATCTGCTCGCTGCCTTTCCTGGTTACCATCCAGTACCACCAAAAGGTATTCGGGACATCATTGTTCATGATCGATTCAGTATCGATTGGGGTCATTCAGATGTCAGATGCAATGGATGACACAGACGTTAAACTAGAGCACGGTTTCGTGGCTTGAGACCCACCCTTGCTGTTTTCTTGTCAAGGATATTCCCTGTCGAACAATTCGTACCCTGCTTATCTCATGACTTTCAGTATCCATACTCTAAGAGACACTTTGAATGAAGTTCCAGCTAAACTAGCAATTTTGGCAGAACTGCGAGTGAATCTGAGGTTATGTTGTCGGTATCAAAAGACTGCAGCTCAATTTCAGCAATCCTACCGAAGTCAGTCAGCTTTCTTCGAAGAAGGTTATCCCGAAGTCAGGAAAACAGTTCACTGAAAGCTTCCCCAACTAATGTAGCACTCCGAGGCAATTTCTACTGTCGGCTGAATACGTCGTTTGAACGACATGTCGTCTAGCCAAAAGGAGAACAAGACCAAGACATTCTTTCCTCTACAGCGCCCAATCTCATTTGCAAAGAGGAAAGAAAGAAAACGAAGAAATGAATGCCTTGATTGAACATTTCCTTGTCATCACCCGATGGCTTAATACTTAGCATCTATAGTTTGAGACTTATACCACCCTCTGGCTCACCATTTTGAGAAAAAGATTTCTCACTATTATTCAGAATTTCAAAGGTGACCCCCAGTCTCTCCCAACTTTCCCTGTCAAAAGTTCAAAAAATTTCAGAACAGCCGCATCCAGCTACTTTCCATGTTTTGTTCATACCTTGGAGGTAATGATGGTACATGTCATTTCGATCTTACTATTGAAGAAACAATAAAAAAGGTCTATCCCAAAATAACAAAAAAAAGCAAAAGGTAATGATGCAACCCCGGGCCATCGTTTTTCATTCCTTTTTATCTTTCAAAAAAGCTCACCCCTTGTTCAGTCGCTCCCATCTACCCGTCCCTGATTCCCTGATTGCGGCGAGAAGTTGAAAAGTTCGCCAAATCACACGACGACACATTGACCTCAATACCCACTGCGGCGGTCACGTCTCGTTTTCGATCGCACCGTTTTTCGAATTAGGGGATCACTTCCGGAGAACAAATTCCAGGAATTCCGTACCTATGAGCAACAACGGTTCCCTGTGACCTCTGCGAACGTATTTCACGTTCCAGAGGTAAGAGAGGGGACCGTAGGTTCATGAAAACAGGGTGTTGATATGGTATTTCAAAAAACCCATGGACGACACAGTGAGTGCTTCTCAAAGGCTCACTCTTTTCCACAAACCTGCACGCTCTTTCTGACGAATCCCTCCAAGACTGTTTTTCGCATTCGCTCGAAGGAAAATGACCGATAGGTGCATGCTTCATGGGCAGAAACTCCTGGTAAACAGGTTTTCTCATAATAAAAATTGTTCGCGGAAGGATTTGCAGTCAGCTGGCTTGTCCCTGAAAAGAGTGGGTTTGAGGCAGGCCGGGAAATCAAAATTGTAGAGGCCTTGTAAGATGGTGGCGAGAAACGGACCGGCTGGAGAAGCGGCGTCATCGAAGAAGTAGCAAGTTTCTCGTCCATCAAAATTGAACGCTGCACAAACTCGCTGAGCACCAGTGGTTGGTTCGATATTGTTTCGACAGTACTGAGCGCAGGTGAGGTCATGACCTGAAAAGTGCAGTGTGAATAGAGAGCAGTGGTACAAAACATCACAGAAAAGAAAAGAAACAGCTAAACAAGAAAATGGAAAGGCAAGAGAACAGCGGGAAAGGCACTTGTTGCTAAAAACGTACCAGCAGTGGACACAACCACTGGAGTTCCATCAAGGCGAGCTCTAGCGATGCGCACGAAGGCGGTTGTTTCTTGATTGGAACACTCAAACACAGCCAAAGCTGTGGAGCTCAGCGCCAACATCAGCGCTGCTCGCAGCATTTCTGGAATCAAAATTGTTCAAAGGAACGAGAGAATTTCAGTGGTCAAGCAACAATGAGGATACATGGTGAAAAGGCACACGAACTGCAGCAACGATGGCCGTTGGCCTTATTTTTTACGACAATCGCAATGAAGACTATGATTCGGTCAATCACAACGAAGTGGCGCCATGTCAGTAGTTTTTGTGAGACCAACATGATTTGATGACAAGCACGCCCTCATTAAATTCATGCATTAAGAACTTCCGTGGGGGAAATTCGTAGTAAAGATGTGGATGATCGTAACCGGATAGCGAGAGTATCACTGTAAATAAGACCCTCGCGCAGGTGGCGGCGGAACGAGCGGTCGGGGCCGAGGCGGGCCCGTAGCGGACGGCCGCGTTTTTTCTTTGAGCGCCTTCGCCAGAACCTTGACCTCGTTACCTCGAAATGCAAGCACGATCGTTCATCCTTCTAAACATCTCCGCATATCATAAACTTGGCCCCATCGAAATTCGGCGCGATTAAGCGGATTGGTTTATAAATGTGCGACTGCGGTTCCATTAAGAAAGAATTGACGCAGAGCTGTTTCCCAGCTTCCAAGATGAGAGATATCAAAGTCCGTAATCGAATAGAAAAAGCAACAGTGGACCGCTTCCGCGTATTGGGCCTTAAATAGGGGAAGATGGCTCATTGAATTCACCTAAAGTGGAGATCCAGTATTTCTTGAATAATACATACAGGGGGGGGGGGAAAAAAAAGACATTTTGCCCAGGTCGCACTTCGGCCTTTTTTCTTCGCAGAGATTGCCGTCGTTGACGGAAGTTCCTCAGCAAAATATTCCCTAAATGTCCCTCTATAAGTACACGCAGGCCCTCCTTCACTACCCTCACCGTCTTCAGAATATGACGTCATCTGTCACCGTCGTCGAGCTCAGGGAGGCCTACAGTAACTGCTTCAGCCTGAAGCTCTTACATAATTTCTTGGATCGATTCAACGTGGGATAGTTTCCTAGGGACATTAGCTCTGACTATGCAAACCACCCTCCCTACCCGCTCCTTTCGGAACCAGTCATAACAGGTACACGATTCAGGTCGGTAACCCATGAGGCTCGACGAGAGCATCCATGTCGGAGGCCTTTGCTGAAAGCCATTTTACAGTAGCACGGCCAGCTAATTTTTTTTCCAGAAGATTTTCTTATGATGGAATGCGTACTACTTCTGTGAAGCAGCACGCTTCAGATGACAAAGTGCGACTCACAATCCATTTGAGTTTGGAGACAAAACGTCTTTTTTTATTGCCCCCCTGTATATGTATTTGTCTCGGTATACAATTGACGGCTGAAAGCTTGACCTTACGCGACGTTTTGCTTTCCGTACACGGCGCAAACTCATTGTAAGATCAAGAGGAAACGTGAAAGGAATTATTAGAGCAAAGTGGGCCGATTCTGGGTCACGAATCCTGATAGCGTTTACGAGTCTCGTAAGAGGGGAATAGTGGAGGCGAAAGTGCGACGGCCGGTTCTCGCCCCTCTGAAGGACATCGCGTTCGCTAAGTAGCCAAAGAAGGATCACGCTCAGATTGGCAATTATGTCTTGCACTGTTCCGTGGCTGACAGTAATTCGCTCGCGCAGTAGAAAACCGTTCCGGGGTAAAAACAACGAAATCAAGGATAACGACGATGTGAGAGGTGGGCAGAGGACTAAAGGGGGCGAAGGAGTCGGCTATGTTGCATTGTGGAACCCAGCAACGTCCTTCGTTCCTCAATCGCTTATCTGAGCAGATAAACGCCGGCCGATGATCAGATAAAAGGCCATGAACGGACGGATAGGAACTTGCAGTAGAGTAACGTGACCGTCATTGCACCCTGGACGGGTCCTAAGAAAAGTGGAAAGAAGTGCAAGAAAGAACAATAGGGAACGACTAGCGAGCATGAGAGGGGAAATATCTTGGAGCGAAAGCCTAACAAGGAAAGTCGTTTAGGGAGTGGAGCGCTTTAAAAAAGATTTCTACACGTTGGAGGAGCTTATGTGTGGAATAGAAAACCCAGGTCCGTTTTCGCTAAGCTGCCCCATGCCAAAATGTGGCAAGGAAATGGTCCAAGGTTCAATCCTCTGTAATGACAAGCTTTTGCATTTCAGTTAGAGCTTTCAAATTTGCTCCAATAGCGCGAGCACCAACAGTAGGTATCAAAAAACTACCAAGTTTTCTTCGAACGTTGGAAACTCCCTTTTTATAAAGTGAAAAACTGAGCCCTGTAGTAGTCACGCTCCTCTTCATCTAAACGTGCCTCTCCCTTCAGTAGCGTTTTCTTGGGACGCTACGCAAAGATTTGAAAAATTAAATTGTTTTCTTTCTATACTGTGTTTGTACTGTCGAAAATGTTCAATTCTTTGAAAAGTCGTATAGTTTTCCTATTTTTCACTCGCGAATTTTGAACATTAAAAGTTCATAACTTCCTTCGTAATTAACTCATCACATATCTTCGGGACTATTTAAAAACTAGAGGATAAGCGCCTTCGAAGATTAACTAGGACTTTTTACGGTCCTTTCCTCGAAAAAATACTTCAGTTGTTCAGCTTTCCAGTGGTTTGGATCCGATTTCTGAAAAGAAGCGAGTCCTTCCTTCAGACTTTCATGATTTTTTCATTATTAACTTTATGAAGATCTATAAGGCTGATTAGAAACTTGAAATCTGACACTTTTGAAAAAATAATAATCCTTCTTAATGAACGATCTTTTAAGAAATCGTCCCGTTGTTCCGTTTTTTCCCTCTTTGGCCTTCCTATGTCATTCCCTTGACACGCGAGTTTTCAAACTTTAGTAGCCATAAGTTTTTTTTTCAAAATCCGTAATTTTAGATGCAGTAAAAATCATTGAATTCTATCAGATCAGCGATTTATAGCTTATGCTCCGTCCTTCTGCAAAGTGTCGAAATGAAAGCCCTTCTTTTGCCATAATTTCCTGTTCAGGCTCTAATCAATCCGCCGAATTCGTTGCACTTTCTTCCGCTTTGTTTTGGTCTAAAAACGTCGAAATTCTCCGTAATGCTGTGCTTGAAGTTCGCCGATGCAT